GTGATTTCCTTTTTCTATAAAATCTGTTATATCTAGTTTGTATTGGATAATTATAGAGTTATCATCTTTTAATGATAATCCGAGTTGTATATTAATGTTAAATTTAATTTTTTCAGAAGAAAGATTTCCGTTTCTTTCGGCTATAATACTTTCTTTGTAATTGGTTAGTTTGTCATCTCTAATTTGAAAGGTAATCGGGGAATCGATATCTTCTTTGAATGTTGATTTTATAATTATTTGAATAGTACTACAGTGTATGTAAGTTATTTGTTTTCTTTGTTTTTCGGGATAATTTCTTAGTCGTTCTAAGATTTGTTCTTTGTTAATAATTGGTAGAATGAGTTCTCCTGTAGTTTGTAATTGGTACTGGTGTTTTTCCTACCATGATTCTGAATTTTATTATGTTTGTTCTTGATAATTGTTTCTTTATTTTTTCTAGTATAGTTTGTTCGAAGTTTTCATCTTTTTGAAGATCAAAACTTATTTTTCATATTTTTTTATGTCTATAATTCCATCAAAGAAATATTCTTCATCTGATTGTATAAAATTATCAGATGCAGAAGTTGATGTCATACCTGATTCGCTTTTGTAGATAATAATCCCTGTCGGTTGGTGTTGGTGATGATCGTTTCCTCGTTGGTGATCCAGAGATCTGATCGGCTTTTTCATCTTATTCAGGGATAGTGTTTAGTTCCAGAATTCTGGAATAATTGATTTGTGATTCAAAAGAATATGTTCAAGGCCTCCAGAAGATGAAAATATTCAAGTCAATCTCTTAAGAGATATCTTTCAGAGAAAGTTCTAAAACAAGTAGGTTTATTTCACTCTTAGTTCTCCAAACGGGGAGATCTCATATTTGTACAACTTTGGAACCCTATCGGTCAGGATAAGAATCTCAAACCGGGGCTCGACTTAAACACATGACACTGCATAATTGTACAATATAGATTACAGAGATAAGGTTTCTGATAACCTTATCTTTTATTGGGTCCGACATATTATATCAACTAGTCACATGGCTTTTTTCTTCACATGTCTTCAGATTTTTTGGATGGTGGTTGGCTGTTCTTTTCCATCTTGTCCTTTAGTTCTTTGCAGATAGTGCATTTGTGGTCGTCATACCTCATCAGGAAACTACAGAGCTGTTCCTTGATGGATTCTTCTAATCCTGCAAATTTTTTTTCTAAGTGATAGAAGTCTAATTCGAAATCTGCTACTGCTTACATTTCTTCCTTTGAAATTGTATCCTTGTTGTATGTGATCATCAAGACGTTGTTGGTAGCATAATTCACCTTGATCTCTGAGTCTGCAAGGATCTTTCTTGACGCCTTGAAAACTCCAAGTAATGAATGAGCTTCCAAATCATCTGGGATCTCATAATCTGATGCATCATCTCTTGAGGGCAATTCTCCATTTGCTACTCCGAGGTGTATTACAGCATGTGACTGTATGATCTTGTCTTGTCCGAAGATCGGATTGAACTTTTAATCTTCATAAAAATGGTCTTTTTATTCGCGAATCGTTCGAAATAATTCCTTGGAAATTCTTCGAATATTTTCATCGAATCAGTATAAATACTGTCGACTAATCCATATTGAAGTTAATCAAAGGTCATTAATGGGTTGGCTTCTCCAATGAAGATAGGCTTGCCTAGTAGGTCTGGTATTTTTCGAGGGTGACTTGTTTCATGGCTTCTTTTGCTTGTGTGGTTCCTATTTGCGCTATTTTTGGTATTCTCATCGAGGGTAGTTGGACTTTCGGTTCAACTGGTTGTTTTTGGGTCATGGTTTTGTATGATTCATTGAGGGCTTTTTGGGCCTCTTCTTTGGTCTGGAAAACTCGGTATGAAACTTTCTTTCCGTTAGTATGTTGCAAAACGATCGCATAGTTCCATTGAAGATAGCATATCATTTGTCCGGTTTTTCTTCTACCTTGATGTCAGTAGGAAGTGTTACCTTTTCTGATTCTTTTTCTTGTTCTTGCTTTTTATCTTCTACTGGTATTCCACCAGTTGCTTTTATGATGATATTCAAAGATTTGATCAACTCCTCCCTCTCTTCAAAAGAGTTTTGAGAGATTTTCTTGAACTGTTTTAATCTGTGTGTCTTTTTGACTGATCTGATTCTGAATTGTCTTGATTATTTCTTCCATTCTCTTGTTAGAGTGTCTGCAAAACAATTATTTGCGGATTTAATATATTTAATATATGGTTCAAATTGATGTAATTCTAATTGTCATCGAATTAATCGTCCTTTTTGGAATTCTGGTTGAATTTTATATCTCCAAAATCCTGTTACGTATTGTGAATCAGTTCTTAATTCGAACCGTGTTTATAATAAGTCAATTTTCCATTTCTTTAGAGTTCGAAGATAAGCATGTGTTTCGAGCTCATGAATTGGATAGTTCATCTCAGTTTTTGAAAATGTTCCTGAAATATATTTGCATAATATTGTATTTTGTTTTTCAGTTTTTGGTACTTCATTATTATCGGTACGACCGTATTGGTCAAGATGGAGTAATTCTTTTTCATCTTTTATTGCTAACATGCATCATGCCCAAACTTCTTTAGATGCATCTGTTTCAATGATCAGAAAGTCTTTCGTCGTTGATTGTATAACTTTGAAATATCTTTATATTTTCTTTTATATGTTTTACTAGATTTGTATCTTGGTTAGACCAAGACCATGGTACTTTGTCTGATATTTTCTTTTGTAATTATTTTCGTTCCTTTGCTAGGGATTTGAGAAATCCTTGTTCAGAAACATAATTAAGACACTCAAGGAACCTTTGTATTTGTTTTCTGTTTGTTAATTCATTAGGAAATTGTTGTATTTTTTCATGTACATTATTTGTTAGTTTAATTTCTCCATTGTTATTTATTTTTAATCCAAGATATTCAATTTCTTATTGCACTAGTTTTGATTTCTTTTTAGAAATAATTAATCCCTTTTCTCTGGATCGCTTTAGAACGGTGATTAATTTTTCAGTGTGTTCTGATTGTGATCCGTTTGTAAATATTATGATATCATCAATGTATGCTAGACAATATTCTTCTAATCTATGGAGATTTATATTTATGAATTGTTGATATATTGATGATGCTTGTTTCAATCCAAATGGAAGAACATTCCATTCATAATGTTTTTGTGGAGGGCATGAAAATGCCGTTAATGGTTTTGTTTCTGTTGACAATCGAAGTTGTCAATATCCTGATTTAGCATCTAGACTGTTAAACCAGTTTTTTCCTTTTATTCTTTCGAGAATATAATCATTTCTTGGTAATTTATAACTATTTTCAATAGTTGCTTCATTTAGTTTTTATAGGTTATTACCATTCTTCCTTTTTTTTCGTTTTATCTCATTATTATTTTCCACGTAGAAAGCTGGGGCCGAGTGTGGACTCGTGCTTTCTCGTATAATACCTTTATCTAGTAGTTCTTTGCATTCTTTGGTGAATTCTTCCATATCTCTATGGATATATTGCATTTTATTTGATATATTGATTTCATCTTCGGGGTTTTTTAATTTTATTACTATTAGTTCTTCATTTGTATTTTTTATATCTATGGGTTATCGCTACATATTTCCTCAAGCTTTTGTTCAATGAGTCATACTTATAAATATTAGTCTGTTTTTTAAATTTTCTATAATAGATTTTATTATTTCATTTTTTGTTATTATTTTTATTGTAACTAATTCTGATTTTTGGTTTTCTATTTTAGGTGCTTTCAAGCTGATCGTTTTTATTCTCTATATAAATGGTTGATATAATTTTAGAAAATTATTTCCTATAACTATATCTAATCCAGAATCATGTTGATATATTGTTTTTGCTGGAAATATTTTAGTCTCAATAAGTATTGATACGTGTTGAGCCACATACCAGATTTCATGGGCTGATTTATCAGCGACAACTATCCATAGTGGTTTTTCTAATCGTACCAATTTTTTGATGATATTTCTTTTAGCAAAACACAGAGTTGCTCTAGTGTCTATGTATGCTAATAGTTTTTTCTTTTAAATAGTTATTTGTATAAATGTTGCATTAGGGTTTTCTGATTTTAGTATTTTTTCTATTCATTTTCTGAATCAGATGATTCAGTAGTATATGCATATATTTCGATATCAGAGTCAAACTCTGGATCTTATTCGATTGGTTCAAAGCCAAGCCCATATCCTATATTATTCGTAATATTTCTGTTTCTTTTTTCTTACATTTTTTAGGACATTCATTTGCATAATGTCTTTCTTCTTGTCATAACCAACATTTGCAATTATTTTTCTTAGAAGGATAGTGTGTGTCCTTCTTATCATAGTTTTTCTTTTTGTATTGTTTTCTATTTCTGAAATATTTCTGTGGTATATATTTTTGTTTTCTGTTTTTTTATATGGAATTTTTCTCCATTTCTTTTTCTTATGTTTTGGCGAATAGGTTCACAACCATATTTGTCTATTTGTCATGATATTGCTCCACAACATAATTTATCAATTTTTGCTTCTTGTTTTCGTTTTTCTTGGTTGCATTGGAATAAATGTCAATCTTTTAATGTTGTTATTCTTCCTCCCAGAGTATTGGGGATTTGTCATTCATTTACTTTATTCTGAAATATAGTTTTTATTTCTTCTGATATCGATAAAGGTAGTTTATCAAAGAATAATTCTTCGGCTACTATTTTCTTATCTGTTGCAAGTTGATAGTAATGATCTCTGAATTCGCAAATGAATGCTTCAAGATAGCACATATTGCAAATTCTAAGATTTACTATTTTCCATAATGCAGCTTATGATATTTGTGTTTCTCTTAGTTGTGCGTTAGAAGTTCTTCCAAGAAATTCTTCTCATATTACGTCGATTAGTCTAAGAAATGTTTCTCATGCAGTTGATCTTAGAATTTTTTCTGCTTTTATTCCTGATGATAATCCTATTAAGTAGTTATATACTATTCATGTTGTTTTATGTTCTAAGTAACTTAACATTTCGTGAGGGTGTAATTCTCTTATTGGATTAATTTCACAATCTTGGTTTAATATTTCTGAAGATTTTATATTAAATGTATCATATTTTGGAATATATTTAAAATGAACTTTTCTCCAATTGTTTCATTTCGGAATATATTGGTTTTGATATAATTCGTATCCATGATCTTTGTATCCTTGATATTCATCATGTGTTGTCATATGGATTTTCGTAGGGATTTTCATCACTACTATAGTCTAAGACAATTTTTTCAGTTTCATCATGTTGTTCTTCTTCGGGTATATTAAGAGCAGCTAATAATGTTGATAATTTTTCTATCTAATCATCTAATCCTTCTATTATATTTTTGGTGGTGATCTAATTCGAAGATTAGTTTGCATGATCACAGCGGGTACATCAACTAGTGCAATGCTTAAACACTTGAGGATATGTAAAAAGGCTCCCCCTGATGATAGTGAGGATCACAGAGCTAGTAAGAGATTGAAGCAAACGACATTGTTTCATGAGCCAAAAAGTGACTCTTCAGTAGGAATTCCATCTTTTATGACATTTGATCAGGAAAAATCCCGAAGAGCCTTAGTGATGATGATCACTATAGATGAGTTGTCATTTAGGTTTGTTGAAAAGGAGGGATTCATCTTATTTATGAGGATTGTCCAGCCCCATTTTATTATCCCGTCATGTGCTCTCGGTCGTGCTCTCCGTCAGGTCTTAGTTTTGTCGTCGAGTGACGAACACAGACCGGTATCTCCATCTCTGGCTTACTCTCTCTCACTCTCAGTTCGGTATCTCCGCCGTGCTCTCGGTCTCTGATTTACTCTGTCTCGATTCGGTCCCTGCCTTGCACTCCTTGGTTTAGTCTCTTTGTCTCTGCCTTGCTCTCCAATTCGAGGTAAATGTTCTTCCTCCCTGTTCCTCTCTGTTCGACGATGTTGGTGAAGAGACCGAACCAACATCTCTGTCCGGCGATGTTGGTTAATCCGTGTTCAATTTTGTTGTTGTTTCAGGTGACGGTGAAGCTCCTTTCTCCTTGTTCCTGGGTGAAGAGACCGAACCAACGTCTCCTTGTTTCAGGTGACGGTGAAGCTCCTTGTTGTTTCAGCCGAAGAAGATAGAGAGGGTCAGTGTTCCATTCTCTCCGCTATTGTGGATTTCATTTTAGGAATTTATACAGAAGAGTAGATTTACATGCATCGAATAGTGACAGAAAGAGATTAAAAATGATTTATACATCAATTCCAGGAATTTTGCGGTGACTTGCTTTTGTTGTTAATTTTTTTTAACAATAAACATATGTATGTATTTGCAGATTTATGTCTTCTACGACAGACCATTCAAATTCAGAGGAAAACATTGCGATGTCCCGACCAAACACTTCAGGTTTCTATGGCTCCTCAAGCAACTGAACCGGAGCCTTCGGGTGCTGACATTAAGGTACCTAAAATTAAATTTGATTGATGAGCACATCGGGCCCAACAACATCTCGAAACGAAGATCTTGACGAAAGCATACATCAGATCGAAGCCACCAAGTAAAAGGAAGTTGCTTGGAGTGCAAGACAATTACCCAAAGGAAGCTTCTTCATCATCAAGGCAACTCCAACAACTAGCTTCCCAACCACCTCATTTAATGCAACATCAAGGCAACTCCAACAACTAGCTTCACAACCATCTCATTTAATACATTGGACTCTTACCCCCCTCGCATGTTCTTGTCATTTAATGTTGTAGTTCAGAATATAGCCTATATAAAGGCCTTGTAGTGCATCATTTGTAATCAAACTTGTAGAATGTCTCAAACATTTCGAGTTTTATAAATTCTTCTTCGGTTTATCCGAAATTTATCCCGATCTTCGGTGTGTCCGAGATCACGAGTTTGGTGTGTCCGAACTCAAGCCATGGTATGTCCGAGGTTCACTATCTATTCTTCCCCTTCGTTCCATCTATCTTTCTTTTCAGAATTACGTCGAGCATCTCTTGATCCGTGACTGATTCCGAGAACCACCCTTCCCCTTCGAACACCATACCCGATCGAAAGTCGAGAGCCTTCTCCGTGAAGTGCGAGAGACTGTGATTCGGCCTTGTTCCATCCTCTCTGAGCCAAGGCGTGTATCATTGATGCATGGAACCATTATAAAAGAAACCCGGATGGTAAAAAAGCTGTTTGCAATTATTGTCAAACATCAATTAGTTGCATGATCGCAGCGGGTACATCAATTAGTGCAATGCTTAAACACTTGAGGATATGTAAAAAGGCTCCCCGTGATGATGATAGTGAGGATCAAAGAGCTAGTAAGAGATTGAAGCAAACGACATTGTTTCATGAGCCAAAAACTGACTCTTCAGTAGGAATTCCATCTTTTATGACATTTGATCAGGAAGAATCCCGAAGAGCCTTAGTGATGATGATCATTATAGATGAGTTGCCATTTAGGTTTGTTGAAAAGGAGGGATTCATCTTATTTATGAGGATTGTCCAGCCCCGTTTTATTATCCCTCACGTAGAACGATTGTAAGAGACTGCATGAATTTGTTTCTCGAAGAGAGGATGAAGTTGCATAAGTTTTTCATGGGATTCAAAGGAAGTGTTTCTCTAACGACGAATACTTGGACATCTGTTCAAAACATCAATTATATGAGTTTGACAGCTCATTATATTGATGACGATTGGAAGATGAGGAAAAAGATCATAAACTTTTGTCCAATCCCTAATCACGCGGGTGAAACCATAGAAAAGTTTGTCGAGCATTGTTTAGTTCAATGGGGAATTGAAGGAGTTTTGACAGTGACAGTTGATAATGCAAGTTCAAATGATGTGGGAATCGAATATTTGCAGAGACAGTTTAAAAAAAGTGGATCAAGCATACTTGATGGGGATTTCTTGCATATGAGGTTTGGGGCTCATATTTTGGGTTTGATTGTTAGAGATGGTTTGGCTGAGATACATGAGTCTATATCTAGAATTCGAGGTGATGTTCGTTATGTTAGATCCTCGACAAGTAGAGCAGACAAGTTCAACAAATGTTTGATTCGCAAAAAGTTGTCCACTAAATGTGGTGTCTGTTTAGAAGTTGAAACTCGGTGGAATTCTACATACTGATGTTGGAGTCGGCTATAAGACTTAGGTCGGGATTTGATATGCTTACTTCTATGGATGATAAGTATGTTGTTGATTTGAGGAAAAAAGGATTTGGTCCTCCAACGACTATTGATTGGGATTATGTAGAATCCTTATTACCAATCCTTGAATGCTTTTACGAAGCTATTTTGGAGGTGTCTGGTACACGATATGTCACGGGGAATGAGTATATGAAGGCGATTTTTGCTGTAGGATGCAAGATTCAACAGGTTATGGATTGTGATGATCCATTTAAACGATCTATGGCTGAGAGGATGAAAAAGAAATTTGACAAATATTGGTTGTCAGATGACATCAATGTGATCATTTTCATCGCAACTGTGCTTGATCCACGATTTAAGATGACATATGTCAATTTTATGATTAAGGAGATTTACAATGATGAAGATAAGGCGAGTAAGATGATTGGAAAAGCGAAGGCTGCCTTGGAAAATCTGTTTGAATATTAAAAGTCAAATAGATTTGCTGAAACCCAAGCGTCTAGTAGTCAAGTGGACTCAGAAGTGACATCAAGCGGGACTAGTTCTGAAGTGACAAAGCGTACATCAACTGCTTATTTGCTTAAGATGTTTAGGAATTATAGAGACACTGGGCACATCTCCAAAAAGAATGAGTTGGAAGCCTATTTGGAGGATGTTCCCGAGAATGAAGAGAACACAGATTTTGATGTTCTTTATTGGTCGAAAAATACCGGTTCTAAATATCTCATTCTTTCTGATATGGCAAGAGATGTGTTGGCTATACCGGTATCAACCGTTGCCTCCGAGTCTGCTTTTAGTACAGGTGGTCGTGTTATAGATCCATACCGTAGCTCTTTAAGTACTCGACTTGTTAAGCACTCATTTGTACACAAGATTGGATTCGAAAGGATTATACGACACCGGTCAATGTACAAGCAATGTTGGATGATCTCTCTACCTTGGAAGAAGATATATTTTTTATTAGTTGATTGTTCGTATATGTTAGATTTTGCATACTCTAAAGTTTAAACTAAATGTTTAATTTTGCAGATTTTCCATCAAAGCCTTCATTTGAGAAAGAAGCGGGTTATTTAACCGGATGATGAGGTGTTTCAATATGTGTTTCAATATCTTTTGTTATTGATTTTTTATTCTAACGTGTTCTTGATTCTAACTTATATATGTATTTTTTTGTGTTTGTGTAGGTATGTTCTTCATATGTGTTCAAGAATTATGATGGATTTTGGATATGTTTTGGACGTTGTTGAACTTGTGAATTTTATGTTTTTTTGATGTTGTTGAACTTATGAATCATGATGTATTTTGGATTTTATTAAACTTATATAATTATGAAGTATTTTGGATATATTTAGATGTTGAATTTTATGTTATTGGTGTATTAATTTTGTAAATTTGTTCAATATTTTTTTTAATTTTACATGAGTTCGGGTTCGGGTATCACAGGTACCCGAACTTGTGTCTCGGGCTTCGCGAGATAGAGATCGAGACATTCCAATAAAAAACCCGACGAGACTGGGATCAAGATAAAGACACTCTAAAAAGTCCGGGTACCCGCCCATGCTCACCCCTACTCCAAGGTAGCGAAGAATTTGCTTCAAGGCTTGCCAATGATCGGACGTTTGACGTTGCATGTATTGAGACAATTTGTTGACAACAAAGGCAATGTCTAGTCGGGTGAATAGGAGATATTGAAGGTTGTATCGGACTTGCCGAAACTCACCGGGATCATCTAGTGTTGTGCCCGAATGCATGGTAAGAGCCGACGTCGAAGGAAGAGGTGTGGGAATTGGTTTTGCAGCGGACATGGCATGATGTGTAAGAATATCGGAAATGTATCGTCTTTGGGAGAGGAGGATTCCATCCTTTGTCCGAGTTACTTCCATGCCAAGGAAGTAAGAAAGTGAGCCAAGGTCCTTGATTGAGAAACGACGAGCCAAAGTGTCAATGAATTCTTGAACTTTCTTCATGTTGTTGCCGATGATAGAGATATCATCGACATAAACGAGGACATCAGTGATGACTCCATTGCACTTGAAGATGAATAGTGACGCATCGGCAAGGGAGTTGACAAAGCCAGAGTTGAGTAGAAACCTCGTTATACCATGCTCGAGGAGCTTGTTTCAACCCATAGAGAGCTTTGTGGAGCTTGTACACGAATGTAGGTCGGTCCCGATCAATGAAACCCGGGGGTTGAGCGAGATAAACATCCTCTTCAAGTGTTCCTTGAAGAAAGGCGTTGTTGACATCAAGTTGGCGAAGTGTCCAACCGTGAGATACCGCAATGCTTAGAACTACTCTAATTGTTGCATGTTTGATGATCGGGCTAAAGGTGTCAGTGAAGTCGATGCCCGGACTTGGTGGAACCCTTTAGCCACAAGTCGTGCTTTATACATGTCAATAGAACCATCAGACAAATGTTTAGTTCGAAAAACCCATTTGCAACCTACAATATTGTAGGATGGGTCCGGAGGTACAAGACTCCAAGTCCCGTTGCGGAGAAGAGCATTGAACTCCACGTCATTTCGGATCTTTTAGGGCTTGAGACACACACGTAGGTTCCTCGTCTCGGTGTGGGTCAAGTATGGTCGAGAGAGTGAGTTTGGAAGCGGGTTTGGATATGTTGTTCTTCGATCTAGTGACCATGGGGTGTGTGTTTATGGTTGGTGGTATTGGTTCGGTGGCTTCGGTGTCGGCTGGTAAGGTTGACAGGGTGGTCAAGAGTGAGGTGTTTGGTATGGTATGGTAGGAGAAGGTGGCGTGTGTAGCAAGTTATGTGGAGATGGTGGTGAAGTTGGTGGTTGGTGTGAGAGTAGGGTGTCGTTGTTTCGAGCAGGTGTTAGATCCGGACATGAGGGCATCTCCGGCACCGTTGGCGGGCGATGAATGGCAGGCCTAGATGGAAGACACGATGAGAGAGGAGGAGATGGAAATGAGGCACTCTCGAATGAAGAGTTAAAAACCGAGATTTGGCGAGAGTATGGAAACTCCGTTTCGACGAACTCGACATGACGAGAAACATATAGCCGAGATATGGGGACATGAAGACAAAGAAAAGCATTTTGGGTAGGAGAGTACCCAAAAAAGACACATGGGATAGACCTAGGTTGATGTTTGTGGTTCGAATAGGGTCGAAGCCACAGGAAGCATAGACAACCGAATGATCGGAGTTTCGTATAGTTTGGAGATGTTTCAAATAGAAGCTCAAAGGGAGAATGACCTTGAAGAACCGAATAAGGAAGGTGGTTTATGAGATAGACCGCCGTTGGAAGTGCATAGGTCCAAAGGTCGGATGGAATAGAGGCACGGGATAGAAGAGTGAGACCGGTTTCGACTATATGTCGGTGTTTATGCTCCGAAATACCATTGTATTCCGGAGTGTGAGGAGAAGTATGTGAGAGATCCCGTGAGAAGAAAGAAATTCACGAAGACCAATGTATTCACCACCATTGTCGGAGAAAATGGTTTCTATTTTTGT